TCATTTTTTCAAACGGAACCGTATATTTTTAATACATTAATCGACGCATCTCGGCATTCCCCATAGAAAAGTATTAGCCTGTTTATGCCGAGAAATTATTAGTTTCGGCGATATTTTAACTTCAATGTGTCAAATATAATGTATGGAAGACAAAGAAAGACACGGAGCGGTATTCCTGTGTTTACATTGTTTTTGTCTTCCGTACGTTAAATTTGACAAATTACAGTTGAAATATTCCTCGGACTAATGATTTCTCGGCGTAAACAGGCTAATACTTTTCTATGGGGAATGCCGAAATGGGTCGATTAATGTATTAAAAATATATGGTTCCGTTTGAAAAAATGAAGTTGACCCTAAAATCTCCTTCGCTGCTCGATCTGGAAAAAAAATAATTTCATCGATATGATGCTCCTCCTCGAACCAAACAACTTTCGTTAAAACGTTCTTCTGATAAATTCAATGCCTCGCGAGATATTCTGTCGTTTCCAGTTAAACGAAATATCCTGTGTATATAATATATATTATATATTTCGTGTGTGGGTATGTGTGTGTGTGCGGATGCGCGCGCGCGCATCTGTGTGCGTAAAAAAAATATATATTATATATATAAAACAGTTTAAAGAAAGAAAAGAAAAAACAAGAAAAATGAATATACATAGTACATCGATGGGATGTAAAGGCAGATTAACGCAAATATGTTGATATGTTTGAAATATAATTGAAAAGAAACTACATTACTACTTACCCCGATTGATTCAAACTATTAATAGTTTCGAAAAAAATTGATAATCTTCAATATATATGCCAGCAAATTTAGTCGCGTTTAGTTTGTTAATTTATGGACTAATTATAACCAACGTAAACTGTATACCGATAATGAAAATCGGATACCGAGGAAATACAATAGAATATTATGAAGACACCGGTGGCACAATGTTCGTGCCACGAGCGTTGCGGAAGAACTGAATGATTCGGTGAAGAGTATTATAACTTGTTGATCGTGGGGATCCATCCTTCGGAAAGAATTTTATGCGCATGCCTCGATAATCTTCTCGTACAGGAAACTACACATGTATATATAAAACAGTTTCTTATAGTTTTATATCAACAAATATGCACGTACGATTATATGGCTATTGTTTTCGTAATATATGGTATTGTTAAAATAATACTTTATAGAAATAATATACTTTGTTTGAAAAAAACTTATTAAAATCTTCATCTTCGAAAAATGTGAGGAAAATTGAAAATCGAAGTAATTCAATAGTACTTTTTATTAAGCATTCTCATTACATGGATAGAAGATATGCATAGTGAAATGAAAAAATTACATACATACTTATTAGTCAAAAATTCTATTCGAACATGGACGAAGTTCTGACGCTTAAAACTATCTTATAGAATTCTTTATATTTACCGCAGTAAAACTAAGAGAATACGGCATATTTTACGATAAACTATGAATATTGTTTCATCTTTTGTTCTCTCAATAATAAATTTCACTTGTTGTCACGCTTGTTCCTATCTCTTTATGAGTAAATTAAACGCTAAATCTTTCTTCGTTTCACATATTCCATTAGATCTGCTTGATTTTGATTAGTCATAAAATTAATTTTTGTTATGCTGCAGTTTGTTTTTCTTAGTTTTATTGCAATAATGTTTAACAATATATCTTTTAATATTAATATTAAATAAATGATACATGATAGTTTTAATTCTTATTCTGATAAACAACTTCATTGCAATCAATTTATGAATTTGAGTGCAATAAATATGTTTCCGATTTAACGTAAATCTATTCTTTTCTTTTTTCTTTTTCTTTTTTCTTTTTTATTTACGATACTATGGCACATTATGATAGTTTGATTATATAATTAGAGGCAAAGTTTAAAAAATCTAATAAAAAAGAAAAATATTTCTATACTTCTAAAATGATTAATATCGATCAAATTATGCTTTTACTTTCGTTAAAATTAAAAATACATTTCTGTATAAAGCTTAACATATCTATATTCGATTTGGAAATGTATAATTAAAAAATATCATTCTCTATTAATTATTTTTCTTCTTTTAACTCTCAACGAATATTAACAATTTTTAATATATAGAAAATTGTAATATGTGTTATCGAGATATTCGAATATTTCCTATATTTCAGCATCTTTTACCAATACTTAAATCAATAAAAAAGATATTTTATATCTGTCGGAGATGAGGGGCCTTCTCTTTGCAATCCTTGGCAAAACCTCAATACTTTAGTCTAGATTCTTATCATAAGCCGTACTTAAGTAATTGTTTACGATTTAATCCGATTATGTTTGCCCGAGATTTTGTGACAATGAGCTTGGACTCGAAGCGACACAACCAGTCGCTAAACGTAGCCGCGGTCACGGGATGAACGTTTTACCTAACAAAGGTATGGAGTAATCGTATAGCTCTGCTTAAAAAGATATAATTGTAGCGGCACGCGACGTTAAACCCACCAACGGTTTCTGTCCCGTGGCTTGCTACACAAAGGCGACAATTCTTCGGACACATTCTTCGGACAAGATGATTGCCAGATGTCGATACATCTTCACAGTATATTTTCAGCTAGCCTAAGGATCCGCTACAAATCTTAGCATTTATTTAGCTATGGTTCTTCGAACTGACAAATAGTCTTAGTCTTAGCAGCCCCTAAATCTATCATCTACCACGGGAAGATACGGGAAATCTGCTTTTCTCGCGTACGATGCTTCCTGCTAGCACCTCGACCATCGACATATAGAAATTAACCAATTAACAGCAACGTCCAGTTCCCTCCCTCACTTTCTGAACGAAGGCTTTCCTCGACGAATCCGATGATCTCGTGTCCTTTGACACGTCCCATCATAGTTTTTCCTCTGCAGCAGCATCGTGACGGAAGGTCATTCTCTCGTGAGGTCTCATTAGCGAATTACGTAGCGTCTTCACGATCACTGAATACTCTACGTTCTAACAAAGAGTTGGTTTAGTAATACCAGTATCGTAGACAAGTAAATCGAGTCCGAGAAATTAGACTTTGGAAGAAAGTACATTTGTTATCCCGTTGACCGTGGATTCGTTATCGAACCTAATACCATTGTCGTTAGTGTCTAATCAACGCGGTTACTTGTCAATTCTGTAATATCCACACTTGTACTAATAATCATATTTGTAATAGTAAATATCTTCTCTATTGCATAACAACAATGTCTAATCCAAATGAAGATTCGTTACACGCCCCTAACCCCTGATCATGATGTGAACCCGACATATCTATATTATAAATTATGTTGAAATTCAACTTCATTTAATTAACAGTAATTATCATGATAATACATATCTGTAATAGAGGAATCATATTTAATAATTTTAAACGATAATTAATTACATTTGCTTTAAGTTGCTGCTTTACATTTGTAAATTTAAAAACACGAATTAATTTCTTTTAACAACTTCTGTTACAAGGCATCTTCTAAAACACTTGTTACGTTTATTATAATGATAAGTAACACATAAAAAAGAATAAAAACCGAAAAGAGTAAATACAGTAAATTCAACATCTATTCAAGAATATTAACGCCTTTGAACAGTCGTGAAATTCATACTTTTAACTTTTTCAAGTCAAAGTTCCAAGACGCTGGCTTTTAAAAGATAAGGAGCTAGCATAAATCTTACAATAACCAGTTCTTTTGGTCAACATGTGTGTACATCGGTAGACGTTTTCGTCGCAATGAAAGTTTGACGAAAATTACCAGAGGTGATATTAAATCAATAAACTATCACTTATTTGTTTATTAGAAAGTTCGTTTAAATTATAATACTAACTTTTAACTGAAAAATCACAAAATTCCTTTCGAGGTAGTAACGTTGAACGATTTAGTTTACATAATCATTAAATATCATTAATTTCAAAATTTCAACTTTCCAAATCACTGAAATCCGCACAAGATTATTAATTAATAATGTACTATTTAGTTTCTTTATTTTCTACCTTAACATAAGTTTTTAGATTAATACCTACTAATATATGCAAAAAAGAAAACAAATTTATATTTCAAAATAAATTATATTTCAAACAAAACAAGTAAAATGGAAATGAATAAATACAATGTAAATAATTGTTATTAACTATAATTAATAGGGTATATTTGGTAACAATTTGTACAAGGCTAGATAGGAAAGTAATTTTCCTCCTTGATGTTCCTTTCGTATACATGTACGTATGTGTTAGCGACGATGCGCGTTAAAGGTCACCGAAAGCAGTTGTTGGTCCGATACCATTTTGCTTTTGTATGGATCTATGGGGCAGAGCAAGGGGAGAGGGGGGCGGGGGTAAAAGACGAGATCATTATTGGGCTGTGTATGACCAGTAAGACTACGTGTAGAAAAGTGCAATCCGGATGTCTGACAAATAGTGATAGCTATCGGACGTTGAAGAATTGTTTGGAAAAAGATATAGAAAGAAGATTTGAAGTTAACAGGCAAATCAATATTGCATCAGCCTAAAAAATACAAATACCTGGCCTAGGAATGTAGAAAACGAGAGTGACTGCTGTTAAAACCCAGGATATACATATTTTTGCACTCTGGAATTTCATAACAAAATGTATACCTATGAGTGATTCGGCCATACAGTATCATATCCGATCATCAAAAAAGTTTCTAAAGAATTTTCATTTAGATATGACTATTACTGTCTAATAAATATGACTAATAAATATTCTATTATTCATCTTTAATTTCTTCCTATATGTTTATAAATGAATTATATTATGTTTTAATAATAAATAAAATAAATACGTGTATGTTTAATTTAATAGCTTTGAATTAAAATTATAGTTGTACTTTATGATATGCAAACAATTGCATATGCAATTAAATTATTTTGAAAAAAGACAGAAGTTTTCTTTTAAGAGCAAACGATACTTTATGACACTGTAAGAAATTAAGAAGAAGCAGCAGTTCCGATTTGATCGATCGAATACTTTTCAAGGAACGCGATATCTCTGTTTGGAATGTAAAGAAGTGACAAACGAAAATGGATTAATCGGCTTGATACCTGAGAATCTTGCTAACAGTACGAGTTAAAGGAAAGCTTTCATTGAATTTACATGTATTATTCCAATCGTCAACATTTAAGGATAATATCATTGCTCCTCCAAAATTATTCCTACGGATCCATTCAGCCTAAAACATAGTACGTAGCAATTAGAATATGTTTGGTCCTTGAGCGATCTTAATTCTAAAAAAAAATTACAATCGTTTGTCTTAAATTTAATAATTTTATCGAATGGGCTTAGAAAGTAAGAGTAGTATATGTACATGCCTTATAGTAAACGCTTGTAACATCGTCATATGAGATCCATTCTCTATCTTTATAGGCATAGGGAACCTTGCTTTCATGTTTGAAAACGCTCTTCGCGCCGTTTTGAAGGAACTCGCAAACTGTAGGATAAGAAACGAAACCCATCTTCCCCAATTCTCCGAAACCATTTGCTGGTGCGAGTAAATCATGATTCTGCGGATTATCCAGTCTATAGTTGTGGCCATAAGTAGGAATCCCAACAATTAACTTTTCTCTTGGCATCCCTTTTGAAAGCCAATAATGAACCGAATAATTAACATTTAGAGTGGAAAGATAACCGGATTCAGCAGCATGTGAGAAAAGCGGTGCATTGAGTCCGGTAATTGGATAGTACCATACATAAAAATGGTAGTCATATGACATCAAGTTCACAAAATCTACATACCTAAATAATAACAAAATTTGATAAATTTTATATAAACATTTACGAAAATATAAATAAACAAAATTGATTTTATAGTTACATAAAGAAATACTTTTTCTTAAATGATCTTAATAGCTCTAATTATTATTGGCCATTATCGAATAGTAACGCAGCTATCTAATATTGCTCATATTACAAAAAACATGTTCGCTCACTTTGCCATTTCTGCAACCATATAGCTTTGATCAACAATAGCTTGTGGAGCAGCTACTGCAACAGAAAGAATCAACGTTTTTGTAGCGCGATAAAATTCTCTTCGTAATTCCTCTAATAATTGTACGAAATGGAGTTTTTCCCGTTCATCAGCTCCAAGCCATGCAGGAAATTCCCAATCTAAGTCGAGTCCATCGAAACCAAATGTCTTTGTCACATTTAAAACGGACCGTATGAATCTATAAAAAAGAGAACATGTAGCGTTTTCGATGCACTTTATAACGGAACAATTAAAATGTAAAACAACAAAAGTTACCTTTTTCTATTTGCATGATTTTTTACCATTTCTGAAAAACCTAAGTGGAGCTCATTACTGCCGCCAGCACTGATCATGACCCTTAATTGAGGTTGCAATTTCTTCAAGGCGATAACTTCCTTGTAGATTGATGAATTACTGCCCAAATCTAGGCTGCAGTTCACCACGCCCGCAAAACCCACGATAATATGCGTACAAAGATCAGGGTCAATGTGCGACGGACTGAGCTCCCAGAACGTGTTCAGGTCGCTCGATATGGTGTAATAACAGACAATGATTTGCCTATGAAAGAAAACTCTTTTCAATAACTTAAATGTTATTTTCTCATAACTAATTCTTGATGATAATAACAATGTTCGTAAACTTTCTCTTGAGACATATATACTTTGGGCAATAAATATATAAGTACCCTGAGGAATTGGTGTTGTAGTGTTGTGGCGAACTGATGCTGTTGTTCCTGTCCGCATTCTGGTTCTCCTTCGTCGACTCGGCGTACATCCGAGCCCGACGTAACCACGTAGCAATCTTGGCATTGTCTGTTAGTGTTTCTGTATCGAGTGTCTTCGCTCTTGGAGAGCGAAGGATAACAATTCCCAACCACGCGCGTGTCACGAAAAGAACTCCAAGTATCAAAGATACTAATGCCAAGCACAGAACTTGTGTTCTCCAACGTGGTCTACAAAAGGATATGAAAATTTATGTTAATTTCTAAATTTGAGTCATTGATATATAATATATACAGATAAGCTTATGTTTCATACAATATCAGAAATGTGTGCAGTAAATAATAGTTAATAATTCATTATAACAAATTTATTTCTCAATTTTATACGCTTGAGCTGCATGAAACATAAATTTCAAATTTATTTTATGCGCATTTTTAACCATTTTAAACCATGAAGGCTTCTTGTATCATAGTAAATATAGGATAATCAATAACCACACCTGTAACTTTTGACATATACTCACACATATATGCCCACACATATGACTCATTACACACAAAAAAAAAAGCTATAAAAGTAGATGTTGTAAAGAAATTTAATATTATATAGGAAAATGTAAATATAGAGAATGTAAATAAGATAAATATAACTATATTATTCAGTGAAAACAAGCAAAGTTTATATTTTACACTTTCTATAACGATATAGGTATATACCTTTTTTTATAAATGTTTAGGTTTACAAAAATATATTGAAAGAATTATTTAAGTGGAGTAAAAATGGCAGTTTCAATACCGTAAAAAATAATATTTACAAATTTTTTAATCAAATTTTACCAAATCTGACAATAGTAGTTGACTTTACAGATATGTGTATCTAACAATATATTCAATTGTAACTTTTGAAATAAGGAATTTGGTACTGTACATTATCTAAGAGATAAAGTGCTTATAAATGGAACTTTGATTATTATCATTTATTCAATTTATGTGTATTGACATTATACATGCATATTCTTCTGCGTAATTATCTCAACTATACTATTTTATAATATTATATTGTAATACATAAATCTAGTAGTGGGAAGGCATCTAAACAGTGTTATGAATAAGTATGTATTATGCTTAATATGATATCATTGAAAATGATATATTGCTAATATCAATTTGTAAATGTAAATTACGAGATTTATTATACACATTGAAAAGAAAGAAATAAATGAAAACCAAATTATTGTTATAGGAGTTATGTGATTGTCATATATATACACACACACACACACGAGCGCGCGCGCGCGCGCGTGCATGCATGCATATAATATAAGGGAATTAAAAGACAACTAACTATAAAAAAAAGTGCAACTTACTGTCGGACGTCTGTTAACAATTCATATTTGGCCTGTGGCACGGGGATTTGGTTAACCATTGAACGCACAATGTTCGTCAAAATTGACGCTTGAGGACGCTAGTCCTCTAGGGTGGCTTACCACTTTTATTACTACGCCCAATGCGTTATGATTAGGGTCGTATACTTATACAGATATGTCTGACAAATCCTGCGGTGGGGGTAAGGTTTTTAATGTCATAAAGCGTGCTTTGCGAAATCGGCCGCTAGCCATAGAGCGCTGCGATCTAGTAGGTTAATGAGAATGACATGTATCAGAAGGAATCTACTTCCTCGGGATTTATCTTTTAATGATAACATTCTCTTTGTACTTTTTCTATTTACTATTTAGCTACATTGTGTATATATATTCCAACTCCGTTTGAATATATGATAACGTCTTACCAACGTAATTCTTTTTATAGGCATGAGTAGTGCTTAGTTAATGACTAGATTACTTTTTATAATTTTTCATGATTTGTTTAAATAAAAGAAGTAAATACACAGTATTTCATTTGGTACAGAAGAATGTTATTTGAATAAATATTATTTATGAACCATTATTAAATATTATTTCCAATAAAAACATTTAACAAAATTACAATTTCGAAATCTAATATATTTTTAATACTTTTATACCATGTAGATTTGACGCACCTATTGGTAAATAAGTTTGTTTTTGTTTTTTAATTCGTTAAAAAATCGCATAACCACCTATATGTACTATCTGTAATGTGAATGATATTGTCGAAAACATTTTATTGAAATAATACTTTTCACGATTGAAACTTTCCAATGTTATTAAATCTTTCATTGAGCAGGCAAAATTATAATAGAATTTTAGAGTTTATAAAACTTATTAAAAATGCAAAAAATACTTATATTAAATCACATTTATTAAACGTTAAATGTTTATATATAAAAATATCTTTATACATTGGTTTGGACATTTTCCTTTGAATGACTGACCCTTTTCCTCTTTGGTTTCTTTGATGTCTAAATTGACACATTCTTAGTTGGACATAATAATGAACCTACTTACAGAAAGACATATTTCCAGTACATCCAATGTTTTGTCTGCTGAGAGATAAAAAATTTTTATGTTTGATGTGTATTTTAAGAAACATTCGTTTACGTACTTCATTAAATGATAAAAGAATGCAAATTTGCACGAATCAAACCTTTCGTTTTCATGCCAACTAACTGTGCAACTGAAGTATTATTCTTGCTATGGATCAGTGTTTCTGTACATGATTTACCTTTTTTACCATATCATTTTGTAAAAGTTGTTTGCATAGATAGCCTGTAAGTATGGTATAATTACGTAATTAATACATATATAAAACATCAAATTATATTTCCACGACAATGAGACATAGATTTACATATTTATTTTTACACATGTCTAGATATCTGCAACATATTTGAACGTATCTCAAATACAAACATGCATTATAAGAATAATGCATATATACGGACTATGAACTTCTCAGATAATATTTTTCATTATATTTTATAGGCAACCAGAGTTTCTTTTTGTAATCAGTATTTGCAAATGTTAAATGTTAAAGATTTATCAGTCATGTTCATTGCGGCTCTATTTATATGTGCATATTTTATTGGAAAATTGCTGATTATATATAACGAGATCTATCTATCAACAAAATATACGACAAATCATATTCACAAATAGTTGCACATTCCTGTCGTAAAGAAATGGTATTAATATGAAAGAAACATCTTTAAATTTTTTTAAAAAATTATATTTTTTCAAATCTTCACTCAGCCTATCTTGAATACATTTAATTAAAACATGAAAATCTTTCTCTCATTATCTGCGGATGAACGAATCAGTTTTTTTTAATTCATTTATGCTACTGTTGTACCTAGTCATCCCTCTGTTTGTCAAAGCACTGTCTCCAATGACATCATGTATAAAAGCTCCAACATTTTTTAACAAATATGTTGCTTTAAAAACAATTTTAGCTAAGTATTCTTCGCAAGCTGAACGTTTTAAAGCAAAACCAGCGATTGGTTGAATATACTTATTTGTTAAGGACTGGTACTGTAACACAAGACCTTGGGTTGCCAAGTACCTGATATTTGAACTTTGAAGTGTCATCAGGTTATCAAAGTCTGTTAAGCTCATGTAAGTCAATGTCTCTGGATTCACAGCAATAGACTTCTTCGAATTGATCTCATCGAGGGTCGGGACACTGTGATTCTTTTAATAGCTTAACAAATTTTTCATCAAATCCACGCTTTGTACCCACTTGAGACATATAATCTCGAATGGTCCTTGCACAAGGCAATGGAATGATCTCATTCTTCCTCAAGAATTCGTAGTAACTCTGAGATTTGATATTCATTAGCATACACATCATTATAAACTCATCTGTGTAACGGCGGCCTTTTGGATCCTTTGTTTTCGCAGCCGAAATTATTTCTTGGATAACTAATTTTTGATTTTTTGAAATTTTATCCAAGTCACTATCTGTCATACATATCATACATGCTTTCTTCTGTTGATTTACGATCAGGTCTGTAGTACGCTTCAGCTTATCTTTCATTCGATTAACCCTAGCATCTTTATATTTGATTTTTTCTCGCATAGTCTTCAATTTCATTTCATCAAATGGGTTCAAAGAAGTTGTGACTCGTTTAATAACCGTTCTTTTTTTCATTCTTCTAATCTTTTGTGATAAGGTGTTAGAATATTTTTTACATGAATTACATCTTTCACTCATGATAGATAATATAGAGCAGTCTGCATGACGCCAATCCGTACCAATACAATTTTTTAGAGCAGTGTTTGCACGAATTGTATCTAAACCAGTGGACGTTATTCCTTTACATGTGCGTAAATCTTTAAATTTTTTCAAAATTTCTGGTATCATAGTGATTTTAGTTAATATTCGTGGAAGTTTTGCAGCTATTACATCAACGGGTGTCATGTATATTTCGTAAGTTATTTTTCTAGAACCTGTGACTAGAACAGATTTTGCAAAAATATGCTTTTCTTTTCCGCAATCATTCACTCTTATAGCATATGTAAATAAGAGAGCTTCTTCATCGCCAACTTTAGAATTGCCGACGATCCATGGTTTCGGTATTTTCAAAGGTGCATTATTCTCAAAAGTATCGTCTTCTGTCGTAAAAAAAATTATAATTAACTTTTTATACTTAATCTAGACATTTGATAGAAAAATGTACTAACGAAATTTCTTTAAGAAAGAATAATTAACAAATACTACTCTAAGCAAAAAAGATGAAGTGTATATTTTTCTGATTTAAACTATTTTTTCCAACAAATTTTTAATAATCGTGGATATTTTAATTTTAACAATTATAAATAATTGTAAAAAGTTATCGATTGTTTTCAAAACAAATTTATCATACTTACGTTGAGATTCAAAGTTAAAACCGATAGAGTCAAACATTACTGTAGTAAATGGAAACCCAGAACTTGTAAAATGAAGCATTTTCAATTTATCTTCTGCTTTGGTAACTGTCACAAATGATTCAGGTTGCATGTTATTGTTTATAGAACAATCAATATTTACATCCGATTTCACAGAAGACATTATACTTGAATTAATAGAATCTGTTGACATAAAATAGAGAAAACAATATAAAAGTCCAAATTTCAAATATAAATTTTTTATAAACAAGCATCAGGCGACATATAGATGTTTTTGAATGTTTTGAAATTTATTAAGATTAAATAGATACTTAGAATTATTATGAAAACTATAACAATATGTTTGGAATAAACTTCTGGAATAATGTATCAATACAATAAAGGTAACAGTCATAATTATACAGGGTAACCAGATTTCAACAAGTTATTATTAATATTTAACGAAGTATTAACATTTCCATCAACCGCTGTATTTTATATTAAAAAATATTAGATACTTACAATGAGAAGGAACACTGCTATCAAGGTCCAGAGAGACAATAGCAGAACATTCATTATTTTGATGTACGTATCGTTCTATGTCATTGTTCACAAATTCACCCTGCTTTATTGACTTAAGCTGTAATATTTCCTGAACTTCATTTTGATGTTTCTCCAATACTACCGTACTTATGTTTGCTTCTTTTTCTTTAGTTACTGAATTTGAATATTTTGCTGTACTGCTTGCACTTACTCCTTCTTCTGTAGTTGTTGACCTTGGATACTTTATTGCACTACTTGCACTTACTTCTTCTTCTTCTTCTTTAATTGTTGATTTTGAATATTTTGCTCTATTACTTGCAATCACTTCTTGTTCCCTAATCGTTGACTCGGAACACTTTGTTGTACTACTTGCGGTTACTTCCTCTTTAGCTGTTGACTTTGAACATTTTGCTGCTTAAACATATATTATTTATAAATATATGTGTGTGTGTGTGTGTGCGCGCGCGCGCGTGTGTGTGTGTGTGTGTGTAAATATATATTCTATATTTTACGTTTACTTGTAAATAAATACATCTTGAACAAAGCAGAACTTCCCAACAAGATGAATTTAAATACAAATATTTCAATGAATAGTTTCTAGCGTGCAAGAATCGCAGAAAAAAATATATGACCTGAAATGAGTGAATTACAAAATAAAATGTCAAAACTTACGTTCTTGTACTGCATATGTATGATCTGTATAAAATCTGGCGTATTTCCTCATTGTGTGTCTTATTACATCTTGTACGTCTTGTTGTGGGCTTCTTGATCTCGATCGAGATTGCAATGGATATCCATCAAATATTGTAGGTACAGCTCCTGGTCGTAAACGCGTACGTTTTAATGGTACCTAACAAATATTTGGAAATAAGTATCATACAATAATAAAAGATTTTGTCATTATTAGAAATAATGACTAAGGAATTAGAAAATAATTTTAATGGATAAATCAAATGATTTTACCTGAGCTATAATTTTCCCATTATTATCGTACTTGATATATTCTCTAATTATGTAACGTTCTTCAAAATGTTTTTCACATATTCGCTGACCCGTTCGCAAACGTTCTATTCCGGGAATTAATGCTGCCCATTTTGCACCAAAATTTTCATTTTTCACTATGAAAACAGATACTTTTTCATTACGTTTATCTTTATTTGTCCTACAATTCGGCACAGCACAAGTCCATGGCATGTTGAATTGATATATTTCTGTCGTCGCGGCGGCGGCGGCCTTTTAATATGGCTTATGGACATATGCTAGTCTAAAATCTAAAACTTGTATTCCAATAAAAAGAAAAATGAAACCACGATCCACGTTTCAAAACGTCTTCTTCTCTTTAGCAGGATCCTTTGAGGACGGGAGGAGGGGAGCTACGATCACGGATAATCGTGATTGCGACGGTCTAATGCGTAGCGAGCAAATTGGAAAATATTTGCCGTTCATTAAGCCTTGATCCCACCACGGGAGTTACCAGACCTGTAATCTGTGCACGTACACGACATACATACGACGATATGATTGTATTATGATATGCATAAACGGACGTTATGTCCATGATACTCACACTTACGAGTATGTAATCTAAAAATCATGTTATGTACGTATATGAAAGCATGAAGGATAAGGTTTTACTGCGTATGATAACTCTGTTCGAATAAACAGTAAGCAGAAGCAAACATAAGAATAATCAAAATTTTCCGTTGCCATTATTATTAATGAAATTAACTACATAATTCGATTTCTAAATTATTCCGTTAATAAGGACTGGAATTAAGTATTGATATTAAATGATTGGAATGAATAATAATATAAAAATGATGAATCTCAATATTAACATTTAAAATAATTGACATATTCGATAAATGATAAAGGAAACATTTAGAAATAATATTTGGTTTGTTTTATTCGGTTATAAATATGATAAAAAGTAAAGTGTAAGTCATAATTATGCTTGGAAGATGTATATTCTTTTTATAATATTTTATAATATTTAATATTTAATATTAATATTTTCTGAATAAATACATTTCTGTCAACCATCATAATGTACAATTGATTGATAGACGAATACAAGTTCAATATTCACACATATATACGCATATACATATAAATATATTAAAACAATATAATATTCACAATACTTTATATTACAACCATTTATGGTAGTATATTTTAATTATTAGAGAATATGTTAGATAAAATATGTTTTATATAAAATGATTGAACATACTGATGAGATTACATTTTACGAGACGCAATATTGAACGAAAAATCCATCATAAAATTTCAATTTATCTAAGTGCTGGTAATATCCACCATTTTTTATTTTAAATACAACTTAAAGATCACGGCTCTGTTGTATCAACGAAAGCGCGGAGATGGAAAAATCTTAAATTTCTGAAACTATTATTACATAATATATATAAAGTTTTATTTATCTAATTTAACTAACAACCAATAAAAACTGTACAAAAGATTTAAAAATAGTATAAAATATGAAATAGTAAAGTAGTTAGATATGATTTAACATAGATACTAAATGATTTTGAACTGGTTAGTCCTAACCGAGGATAAAAAAGAGATAAACGACAGCTAACAGTTTTATCTTTAATCGAAGATCATGAAAGTCGATCATAGAAACAAGATACATAAACGAATCGGAATATTTCGAGAACTGACATTATAATTATTATGAAAGTATAACTAGGAATTTGTTTATATGTTGGAAAGCCAAGAATAAGCTTTTTTATATACCATAATCGTTTACTGTGCTCTGCCACCAACTAGTGCTTCGTCTTCTGCTCTAGGTAAACGTTTGTAACGTTCTTGTGATACCAAATAAACCGCTAATCCACCAAAAAGGATTAACATAAGTCCGATTACATTAATTAATATTGCTTCGTCTACAAGATTTGGATAATTATTTCTGAAATTACGTATTATAATAAATGAAAGGGTGACTCATACGTTATTGTGTCATAAGTTTATACTTACCCTAGAGCAAAAAATGCTTTTTCATTGAGGCCTAGAAGACAGGAAGCAATTACACCAACGAATCCTGCGATTCCAAAGTATACATGTATTGGCATGTAAGAAGCCCGTAATGGAAGTTGTAATCCCGGATACAGGAAAGACAGAAATCCAGCAAGCCACTAAAATATTAAAATATATGTATTTCGCGATTATTGAACGATTATATATGGATAAAACTAAATAAAGAGTTAATGACATTTATACCTGGCAGCAAAATAAAATTACGCTAGTGAGCCCAATCCAACTATGAAGACTGTACATGTTTGGAATTGGTTTCAATTGCAAGTTGTGGCTGTCAAACACAGCCACAAGAGAAATTACAACTAATGCAACAATTAATATCATTATGCCTGCGTGAATTAGCTTCAATCTTCGTTTCCGAGTATTTCTCTGTGTCCTATATATTAACATACCTAACAAGATTGAAGATAATATTAAGTAAAATAAAAAAAAAAGTTAATTCAATGTTCTTAAAAGTTTCCTTAAATCGTTAAACATACCATTGGCATATAGAAATACGAATCCAATAACCATTAAAAGAGGATGCCAATTGAATTCTAACGTTGGATTAGAATTCCAAGCAAAACCACCTCTATAACTGCCACACCAAACTGCAACTAGAATTATCAGTATTGCTCCAACGATTTCCATTGCAATGATGAGAGGTCTGAAACCCTCCAGATTAACACGCGGTTCTGTAATTTGCTCCATGTCTGGAAATAATTTTGTAAGCACTTCATTAAAATTTTGAACTGTCATGAACATCTTGTAAGAAATGAATTAAGCGAGATACTAAACATAAGTATATAAAGTTAATAGGAAATAAAAAGCTTTTAAAATAAATAAGCGACATACCTAAACATATCTGGTATACGTATGGATAATTTGTTGACATAATTTAACTAAAAAATGAATTCTCTATTTCATAAAATTTTAAACTGAATATCCTTCCTTGTATGATTTTATACAATCTGTTTAAATCTTATTATATATTTCTTTTCAACTTTTAACAACATTCTACTTTAATCTTTTATTTAATCTTTATTATTCAGATATTATTTCTATCATAAACTAAAAATCACATGATATTTCAACATGTAAGAGAAACTAATTTTTAATTAGAGCTTATGAACTTATGTAGGACATATTATATATTCAATAAAATAAACTTACTTCTTTGACATATGGTAACAATTATTTGACTTTCTTTTTGTTTCGGGGATTTAATTGTATTTGAAAATGTATACATAAACGCCCACTAAGATAAATATGTTATTTTGTTACATAACGTCTATATAAATATAAACATATAAATTGATTAAAATATAATGACACTTAATATATTAATAATTTCCTTTTAAAGTAGTTGATTGTCTCCCTTGTGTTAGGCTGTAAAATTACGAAACTTATGTCCCTGTAATCATTCTGCATAGCAACACTTAATGCTGTGATAATGCTTAAAAGTAGCATCTATAAATCAACAAGTGTTAAGTTGTTGCTTTAGTATCATTAAGATGATTTTATACATCTGATTAAATAATTGTTGAAATATTAAGGTGTCCAGTCTTATTAAATTTGACGAAACGAATTACATATAAATGAAAATGGATAGAATGGAACACAATTTCTAATTTAATGACAGCGCTATGAAATTGGCCACTTTACCTGACACTTTCCACAAAAGGTTTCAAGAAAAAAATCAACAGGTACTACGCAGGTTCTCCAACGACGTAAAACAAACTATCGATTATATCTACGCAGTTGTGGAATGAGATATTTAAATTTATCGCACTTCTAGTCAATATAAAAACTAATTGCAGATAAATATGCCGATTCAAAATATAAGATTGATCAGTTGATATATAATTAGAATTTTTAATTTTGAATACGAATTAACTTTAGCCTTAAATAGTAGTGATAAGGAAATTATTAAAAATGAAATACGTGCACGTAATTAAAATCTAATTTGTCATAAAGAATAATGGCAATACGAAAAAAATATTTGTTCTAAAAGTAAAATAACACATATTTTTTAGTCGCATACGATACAATATACACAACACGATACAATTTATTTGGCACGCATACATTAGAAATCACAGCTTTGGTTTCTCCTATTAAGTAAAAATATTTGAGATATATTACTTCGAATCTGCGCATTGTCTAATTTCATTGTTTTCAACAAATTCTTAAAATTAAAGTGCTTTCAAAACCAATGTCTACAATATTTCTTAGTATAATAAACTAGATAGATTGTAAATAATATATATATATAATCTTATTGTGCCTCTAACGTAGAGTTATCCTATTTGATAATAATCTATTATATCGAATATAAATTTTAGCAACGTTCACACCACCATACGTATGTAATTGAAAAATAAAGATAACCTTAAAATATTTTACCGATAAGGGAAGCAATTTATCTTTTAATATATGCGTATATATGTATATGTGGTTATTGATAAAATATCGCAGAAAGATGGAAAAACGAAGACTTTTTTTAAATTTAACAAAAAATAAAAGAATTACTCTCGTCTTTGAGAAATGTTTCTCAGATGCCACTGCAACTAATAATAATGAGAGAACAACACATTTTGGATACAAAACTGTCAAAGAAAGTGATAAAGTGAAAGAAGGTACATTTTATAATTTATGTAGTTATCTGAACAATTTTGCCTTTTGTTCCTTTATATATATTATCCCTATAGGTAACAAAACTTTTTATTCCCAAAGGAAGCATACCCTGTATTATAGAAATATTTATAATTTTGTTTACGAGAAACAACATTATATATAAACGGAAAATATACAAAGAATCAAGATACAAATTGTTCAAAAGAATCAGGACAGATTGTTCGATATAATTTGTATTTTAAGAGCTTTTAAGATAGTCAAACTAATACAATTTATATTAATTCTTAAGCATTTCGTGTAATTTGTTTCTGCATTAATCTTTAATCTCGTATATCTGTAATGTCAGATTTATCAAGTTAATCGAACAATTTTTTAGTATATACAGTTTTTGAGAAGGTAGCAAATTCGTACGATAGAATGAATGATGCTATGAGTTTTGGAATTCATCGCATTTGGAAAGATATATTCATTCAGAGGCTTGGACCAACTCATGGCACCAAATTATTAGATTCGGCTGGTGGCACAGGAGATATTACATTCAGATATTTAAATTATTTAAAGAATACCCCTAATTACCAAGATGTAAAAAGTTCTGTAACAGTTTGTGATATAAATAAGAATATGTTAGACGTTGGTAAAGTAAGAGCAAAAAACTTAGGATGGACAGATCAAAATAATTTTAATATAGATTGGAAGCAATGTGATGCAGAAAAGCTTCCTTTCGAGGACGATTCATATAATGCTTACACAATAGCCTTTGGAATAAGAAATGTAACACATATTGGAAAGGTAAATCAATCTTATAAAATTTTTATCAAATTAACATTGAACTTCAATGATATATCTTTCTCTAAGTATAAATAGATTTTATACTTATATTTTACAAAGAAATAACGATATTTGTTGTAGGTACTTTCTGAAGCGTACAGAGTACTTACTCCGGGTGGTTGTTTTATGTGTTTGGAATTTAGTCATGTAGATAATAATATCTTGAAATGGTAACTAATTCCTTTTAGGATAAAGTAACAATTATTTAAAGTCTTTTACGCTGGATATCTATGCATGACAAAATAAAATTTTTAGGCTCTATGATCAATATTCATTTCAAATAATACCTGTGTTGGGTACACTCATAGCGGGAGAATGGCAGCCCTATCAATATCTCGTTGAAAGTATTAGAAAATTCCCAAAACAAGAAGAATTTAAAGTAAGTTGTGCGACATGGTAACACGATATTTATGTTATTTAAGTTACAAGTCTATATATACTTGTGTGTATATATATATATATATATGTATGTATATTTAATTTCTAATTACTATTTTAGGACATGATTGAAGTAGCAGGTTTTAGAAATGTAACGTATGAAAATTTAAATAGCGGTATAGTAGCTATTCATTCGGGTTTTAAATTATAATGAATACCGCCGTTTATCGTTGAGATATAATTAAATGTATTAAATAACAAACTACTTGTTATATATCTTTTATTATATCCAAAGATTTGGTGAAAATAACACTTCATTATATTGTTATATTTATTACAAAATGTTTATTTTACTTTTTTCATTTATATTTTATGAGATTTTATTTTATCAAACACATTGATTCATTGAATTATTCTTCCACTGCAAATAAGCCATGTTTTAAACGTTGTTTTCAAGTAAAAAAGCTTTTACTCTCCTGTCTATTATTTCTTTCTGTTCCTGAGTTAAATCAGTAATTTCGATTACTGTTGGTCTTTCATCTCTATTTAATTCTAATTTTAAGAGTGCATCCAGAGCATTCATCTCTTTTTCTGCATTACGGAAACTCTGAAATGTTCATATATTCTTTATGAAGCATAAAAAGTTCAAATAATGAAAATAATAAATATGTTTGAAAATTATTATGATATTATAAAGCATTTTATAAAAATGCGAAGGCAAAATACCATCCTAAGTTCATGCTCAATTTCTGGATTTTTTTTCCTCAATTTCTTTTTCAATGAAAACTCTCGGACACTGAAACCTAGTAAATTTTCTAGAATCTAAAATCATAAAATGTGTAGTTATTAAAAACACACTGGATTTTCTAATAAATTCTCATTTTCACTTAAATAAATTAGAGTTCAGCACCTTATTTGAGAAAGAAACTTCTATTGTTCCAGTACCATCTGCTATTGTAGCTTGCAAAATCCAAGATGAATCTTGTTTTGTTAGTTTTCCGAGGACTTGGACGTGACCTCGAATAGTTTTAAAAGTCGTGGTTGTTATTATTTCATTATTAATATCGTAGATAAATTCGCAAATTTTCGGCTCTTCTGGAGCATTTACTCCTTTTATAAATTCTGTAATCTGCTTATCCATTCTACCCTTCTTCGAAGCTATTGTTGTACGAGGTGAAGTTGAAACCTGAGATATTGCACAATCGAACATGTTTTAAAGATGATAATTTTCAAAATAGAAAGCAGCAGTTTGTACTACTTTTTAACGAAGTACATAAATTAATATCGAGCGGAACGAGTCCAATAACATACTCTTTTTTTTCCGTCGCTTAACAAAGATTTTTGTTTTTTTCCTATTTTTGAACAGGAAATCGATGAATCTGTCTTGGCAGTACACGACTTGAAATTTAAATGTGACGAATCTTTCTCTCTGGTTTCTCTAAAGGCGTCATATTTTACATCTGTTACAGCTTTCTCATCGGTTATTACAATAATGTCATCGCTTCCCTCTTTTGGCAAAGTCCTAAATGGCAACGCAATACTTTTCTGCTCTATTGACGCTTCTGTAAATTGTTCTTCGTCAACCTGTAATAAAGTATGTTCGTTCAAAGGTTGATTAAATTTAAAGCTACACTTTATACCGACTAATTTTACAATTTTATCTCTTAATAAAATAAAATATTAAGATAACCATCTCTAAAAAACAATCGTCATCATCCAGGATTTTTTCGTTTTCACAACTTTGATCCGTTTTAACTTGATCGCTGGTAAATTCAGTTTCTGTTTGAAAACACTCATCATCAATTAACGTTTCTTCATTTTCATGACTTAAAAGTCTCTTAATTTCAGTGTTAGCGTTATTAATTCCTCTCTGAAAATGAACATTATCATTTAAAACTCCTTCATTTTCGTAACTTTGAACTCTTTTAACGTCTGTGTTAGTATTCTTAATTTTCGATTTTTTACGATCTTCGTTATGGGAATCTTCAGTTTTAAAAATATCTTCAGGATTTACTTCGAAGTCTTCTTCAAAAAGGACTTGGTCCATTTGTGGTACTTGTGGTCTAATATTATTTGATTTAGTCTCATTATCGCTATAGGGATCAGGATTTTCTGAAAGATTTCTGTAAATGATAAATACACGTATATAATATTAAAGTTATTATCAAGACTTTCCAAAATATAACTTAATATTTAATTTAGCTTCGATTGACTTGATTTATAGTTTACTCCTATTTTGATTTCCTTATTATCCTTGCTAAATTTTTAATATTAATTTAAACTCACAGAGCTCTAGCTAAAACATTTTCCATCGCATTAGGTATTAACAAGCTATCCACTTCACCACCAATTCCTTTCAACTTTCCTTCTTCTAATAACAAAACACCTTTACGACATTTCAATGGGCCCGTTATCATAACTTTATATCCTGGTAATAGCATATCCTTGAAAAAAATATAAGAGTATTTTACATTTGTATCGTACTTTTAGAACATTCTTAAATTTATGTCTTTATTTAATAGAGAAGGAGAAAAAGAATAATAATAATAATAATAATAATAATAATGTTTTAGCTTAACCAGACCTTTATATCAATTCAAATATGTTATTGAAAAATATATAGTAAATATTAACATACATTCAGTCGAGATATATAATTATATTCAATTCCAATTAAATCTTGCAATCCATCCGTTAGTCGTAATTGTATCATTCTTTTTTTCGGAGGTTGCCATTTTTCCATTTTTTCTGCTTCGGATAGATCTATTTTTGAAATATGAGCGTTCCTAATATGCTCTAATTGTTTATATTTCGACGTTGCAATATCATACATTTGTTCTACCTAGATTATTACAATTTTAATTAATCAATTATCTGCGCAAATTATAAATATGTAGGTATTTTATTTACTTATATATGTACCTGAAGAATATAGTTTCCAGATAAAATAATAAATTTTTGATCCGACAGATTGCAAGGTAAACATCCATTTTCATTATTAATTTTACGCAAATCACCGAGTTGCCATTGTTCTTTTACAAATTGTAAAATCTTTTCTGGGCCTGGCTGAAAATAAGATTAATTATAACAAAGTATAAAAATTTATAACAATAATACGAGTATTTTACATTTACGACGTTTTACGGAAACAAATGTAGTATGTATGTAGCCAAACTTAAAATGTGATGTTAATAATTGTACTTCAAATCTAAGGCATGCTTCACGCGTATTATAGAATTGTGCGATAAAATTCATTTAGATATACATAAAATTAATACTTACATTTTCATGTTGATTTACGTAAAACTCTATACAATCTCTCAGCCATTCATTATTCATTGAATAATATTCTGATTTTAATCTACCTTTTATTCGTCTGAATACGTCTTCATTCATTTAGGACACTTTGTGTTTATGTAAATTTATAATACAGTATAGTTTAGGTATGCACACTTTTTGTTTCAACTTTTTCGAACGACCGATGAAATACTGTTTCTGCTCTCTCTGCTGTCGCGAGTTAATTCTAGATTTATTTAAGTAGAAACTGGTATCATTACAAACGAAAGGTTATGGTCTTGAGTGACAGCTAGTCGTTGTCAAAGTATTTTATATACCAAAGCGGTATAATAGTATAGAATATTTTATTTATTAAAATATTTGTGTGTGCGAGTGTGTATCAAATGACATTATATCAGTGAAAGAATACTTATATTTAATAAAAATGTTTTCTATCTAATAAATAAGATATGTACTAATAATTTGTAGTTTGATTTATATGTGTGTGTGTGTGTGTGTGTGCGCGCGCGCGTGTGTGTATGTGTGTATATATATATATATATATATGCATATTGATACAAACCGTCAAAATTATTATGAAAAATTGTTCAGTTTGTAAAAGCCTGACAGTGATTAACTGTTTTGGGATTCATAGAAAAAGTAAAAGAATATTTACTATATTTATAGAAAAGAAATTAACTCATTCGATACCAATAATAAGTTATTTAATTTAAAAGATATTTATTATTTGACATAAATGCGAACCAAGTAACGATTTGTATTACACAAAGTATTACTTTTATCTTCAATCATACTTGTATTTATACTTGTACTTATGCAAACACACAATGGAGAACACGAAGCAATTCAGTGCAAATATTTTTACCATTGACATAACAACTTGTACAATGATTCCAACGAATAAACTATATAACATTGATTACTTTTAGAATACACAGATGAATTACTTTTAGTTACGTTCAGTCATTGTATAATATACGTGTACGTGTACACGATGGACCGTTTCATTTATTTTATCATATAAATAATATCGCGAAGATCAGTATCCTTATCGTCACAATTTTATCATTTCACAATGATTTCCATCCCTAGAAAATCAGTTCACTCAAGCCTATTTTTAGTCTTTCAAACATACATTTCTGCTGACAACCCTAGTGGGGGTGAGTTACCCTTAGTGGGGGATCGAATCTAGAGGGGGAAGCCAGCCGTCAGGGCAACGCATGCCTTCTGATTCTGATATTTCAGTAGGCCGCGCGAGCTTATGCCGTGAATATGTTGTTGTAAAGTGGTTGTTCGTCTTTCTTTCTCTTTCCCTTTTTGTATCATCCGGTCTGTTTTCTTTTTTCTTATAATATTCCTGTGCGTGATTTTCTGTCCATGATTGTGCGATATATTTGTTGCGAATATATATTGTCGATACGAATGTGTGTTCCAAGGTACGTATGAACATGTAAAATTGAAAATGTATATATGTATACTGTATGTATGTATATCGTGTATATTATCGTAAATGGAAGATGATTGTTTAACGCTGTAGGATATGAAATTCATGTACGTTTGAACATTTGACGAAAGGTTATGAATCGTAATTGACAAGAGAGAAATGCGATAGATCCCTTCTCGCTGTAATTAATATCGTAGTGTGTGTTCGCTTGTCCGATTAGTTTAATACTGTAACAACAAATAATGACTTATTTAATGGAATGTAAATATCCAATAAGTACCAAAGTGATTACTGTTCTTGTATAAAATCGTTAATGTTTAAATAATAATAATAATGAATAAGCCGAAGAAATTTATGAAGCACATATAACGAATTGATAAAGGTAATTTATCGTAGTGTTAACGTTCTGCGAGAGTTAGAACAAAGATTAGGACGTATTGGATAGATAAAAATTGACCGTAGAGAATAATGCAAACGATAAATCGATTCGTCGTTCAGTTTTCGCTATTTTGTTAAGAGAATCGAGATCGATTGATTTCATTTATCGTTTAAATCGTTTCTTCGTATACTCGCTTCAATGGAAATAAATAGGTGTACATATGGTTATGTCCCCGCGTACGATATATGTATAGATAAAGGCAGACACGTATATAGAGACTTATGCGAAACGTACGTACGCGTATATAATATATGGATACGGACAGGGTGTTTTTAGAAGCATTTAACCGTCAAAGTTGAGATTATAGCGAAGGTTGTAGATTGATTGATTCATGATAGTGCAATCTGACATACGGCGGTGATTTTTTTGAGTTATTGATTATCGAATAGCTGTGTAACAAACTAAACGTTTCTGGAATATTGCACGCCACCGTTGTTTCTCTGTTATCCTGTTTTTTTTTCTTTTTTTTTTTTTTGCCTCGCCTACATCTTTTACCTCCTTTTACCTACAATATACATTTCACGAAGCTTTCTATGCTGCAGTTATTTAAAAGGGAAAGAGAAAGTCCGTGTCTCCATTTTCTCCTTTTCTCTGCTTGTTCTCTTTGTCCTTTTAACCGCCATGAACGGGGGAGACAATTTTTTCATGACATTTTCACTGCACGAAATGTCAAAAGATAAGGTTATATCGGAGACTCGAGACGCGAGTTTGATTAACATAACGTGGCTTTTCACGAAAGTATTCAAACCCTTACCAGAGAAAACTTGTATCAGTATATCGTGTGTATTATATAAAGCTTTTTGAAATTTCGTTAACACTGTACTGTAACGAGACACGATTATCGTGATTATAATTGCGTACATAATTTGAAGAGAATTCGAAAATGCACATAAAAGTTACAAGACATTTATCGTAAGCGTACGCTTAATGGAAAAATTAGTATACAATGCAGTAGGCTGACTAGTTAGTTAGTAGGCTTAAACATATACAGTTGGCGTTAAATATCGTGACTTACTAACATAGCGAATAAAATCGACCGTTGAAATATTTCGACGATTTTTGCCAAGCGTATGCTTCGAATAAATATCTTATAATTGTTCTATTATTTTCAGACTGGTTTCAAAGTTTGTTAATATAATCACGACAGCCGTATCCCATTACACGGTGTTTATGAGATTTAAAGACATTTCGTATACGCGTATATACATAAAAATTTCCCAAGTAACGTTGAAACGCGAGTTCGATTTCGCGAGTCACCGTGTTCTGTTATTTCTTTGAACGTAAAATCGCGTGTTGATACGCGAGTGTCGGATAAAACGGCGCGATATATTATTATTCAAATTATCTTATGTATTTATTTACGTATTACGGAAATGCTTAGTCGTTCATTTCGCGCGCGGAATCATGCACGAAACGTAATAAGGATTGTACACGGCATGCACATAAAGGGAATAAAATTGGAAGATACAGGTAGTAGTTGGTCCGATGGTATTATAAAATTTCCTTTCTGCTGGAAATCGTTTCTTAATGTTGGCGCTCGATGACACTTTAAATCATCGAAAGTATCGTGCTTTGGGCAATTTTAGATTTCGACGTCTCGTATGACAGGAAATAAACTAGGTTGCAATGAAAAAAAATATATGATTTGAACATTGCATTTTTTGAAATATTTCAATATATTCAATTTTTTCATTTTGTGTGTACTATAAAGTGAGTGGTAAATTTTAATGGAAGAGAATGGAACACGTTGAATAAAATATAGGAGATTCTAGTGGAAAAAGTATTTGCACGCTACACACTTTGAACATTGTATTTTGAAAAAATGTCAAGTCTTAATATTCTACGTGTTGTAAAGCGTGCTGCTAGGTTTTAGCGAAAGAAAGGTGTGCGACAGGTCGAATAAAATACAAAAGTTCCAGCTTCTTAATGGCTAAATGGCTTAGACGTTGCATTTTCTGAAATTCTGAATTTTAATATTCCATGCGTCGTAAAGCGCGATGAAACTGAAATGAAACTGAAATGAAACTGAAATGAAACTGAAATGAAACTGAAATGAAACTGAAATGAAAAAGGCAGGATATTTTGAACGTTGCGTGTGGCGAAACTTTACGTTTCAGCGAAGTATATTACGTTTTAACGAAAGACAAGATGTCTTTTCAATTTTATCGTTGGAATTTATCGAAGCATCTATTTTCAACTGTACTCACTTGCAAGCCAAGTATGTAAAATTTATTTTCGCCAAGACAATAGATGTACCGCGCGAATGTATTCTCACGTACGGTACTTTTGCTCAAATCAAAGTTCGATAAGGGCAAAAAGCGATAAAAATAACGATAATTGAAACGCTACATAGGTTTCTGCGTTTTCGAACGCTTTTGCTACAAAGAAGCGATATATTAGATATCTACGAAACATGTATCGTTATTACGATTTACGTAGTATTAAATGCCTATTAATGTAATTATTAAAGGCGTTGTAACATAGAAATATCGATCGATAGACTTATTTGGAGAAAAGGGCTGTCCCAAAGGAGGCAGGTAAAAGAATTTACGCCTCGTTTTATTTCGAAGGAACGAGGAGAACGTTAGCTCGTCGAGTCTGCGGGGATGAAAGAAGAGTTTGGTTGGTATCTTGAATAGTTTCCGACGAAATGGCTCGTAACACTTTTACGCGACCTAGTTTATCTTCATATCGGTGAGATATTTGATGCATTGTAAATTCTATAATTCTATTTCTAATAATCGTCGTAATCATCGGTAGGTACGTTTCTAATTATTCTAATAATTAGCCGATTAGTTACTTCGTTAGTGATTTCGTCATGGATGAGAGCAACTTTGAAAACGTTTATTCGTTAACGATAGAAACGATGAAAATCTAACGTTTGACGATTAAGCGCGTTTTCTTCTCGTTTTTCTTCTTATTTTCTTTTTTTTTTCAATTCTTAATCAACGATACCGACATTGATCGTATTGGATGGAAAAAGGTAGTATTCTAATTGATATTATTAACGAGTTATTGGCCGTCTAATGAACGCGATGTACGTGTAAATATACATATATAAAACTATATACGAAACTATAAAATTTGAGAAAGTTTCTTCCTTTAATCGATTTAGTGAAATTTACGCGTTATATATTTGCGTTATTATAACGTGCAATGGTAATTTTTTCTGAAAAAGCTGAAAATAAAGGAATATATTTCGAAGAAAGATATATACGGTATTTCTTCTACGGATTCGAGTCATTTTCGTAGTATCATTGATACGTATCTATCGGTATTGCAGGATTAACAGGGATAACGATAAAAGAAAAAAGGGAGAAAAAAAAAGAAAATAAAAAAGAAAGAAAGAAAGAAAGAAAGATAAGGGACATGGTAGTTCGGCGAATGAGTATTTCGTCGACGTAATGGTAAATTCGCTGGTTCGTCCTCCTTACGGAGAAATTACTACCTCGAAAGCTTCGAACGATTTTCATTTAACTTCTCGCACTTGCTTCGTAGCGTTAATTCTTTTAGCTTTAGAGAATTGTCGATATAGCGAATATCGTAAGGTAGAAACGATTAAAAACATCAGGAATCGTTTCATCCGGTTAAACACTGCGCGGACACGTTTCTCGATAGAAATCCAACATTCGTATAAACAATTTAAGCACGATTTGCCTCGATTCGACGCGTGCAACTACATTTGCCATTTAGAATTTGTACGTTGCGTACGTCGTGTTTACGAACAATTGGTCGGAAATTTCCGCCGTGTATCGTCGTGTCGGGTAACATTCGATACGGTTGAAACAGAAACTTGGGAGAAATTTAGGAGCGCGAGTGAACGACGATGAAGAATAAGGACGCGGATCGTACGGGAATCGAGTGTAAAATCGAGAGAAAAAGATGCTGCGAAGGGAACTGACTTTGTGGTAAAAGCGAACTCCGAATCGGTCTGGCGATCCGGTACAGTGACGATTGAAATGCGATAAGAAGGAGAAGCAACGGCATAGTCGAGCAATAGAGTAATATGCATATGCAAGCGTGGCGAAATGTCGGTCGAAGGAGGTTCCTAGAGAGGAAAAGTCGCGAACAAAGAAGAGATACGTCGCGGAGATGGTCGCCTGCTCAGTG